TACTACAATAGTTCAGGCAAGAGGTTATGCAGTTTTGAGCTAAGGTAGCAGCATCTGTATGAGTGGAGAGATGGGAACAGATATGAGCAATATTGTGGGGATAGAATCTACCAGATTTAGCCACAGCCTGGATGTAGGGGCATGAAGGAGAGAGAAAAATCAAGGATAACTCTAAGATTGGAAATAGGAAGACTAGAAAGATGGTAGTTTCATCAATGGAAAAAAAAAAAAGGAAGAAAGAGTGGCTTTCTGGACAGAGATAATTTCTATTTTGGACATGCTGGGTTTGCAACGCCTAGAGAAAAATCAAATGGAGATGTGCGGCCCTGAAAAGAAATTAGGAATGAATATATAGATTTGGGAATCATCTGAGTAGAAATGGCAATTTAATCCATGGGAGCTGATTAGATCACTAAAAGACAATGGAGAGAAGAGGGCTCCAGGCAGAGCACTCACCCCAGTTATCAAATATGATGTGGATGGTTAGTCAATTGAAGAAATCTGAGGAGTGGTCAGGTACTAGGAGAAGATCTAGGAGAGGGCAGGGTTTTGAAAACCAAGGAAGGACTAAGTATCCAGGGGGAAGGGAGTGGTTAACAGTATCAAACACTACAGAGAATTCAAAAAGGAGGAGGACTAAACTAAGATTTAGCAATTAAGAGATCATTGGTAATGTGGAGCAGGGCATTTTTCAGTTGAGCAGTGGGGTCAGAAGCCACACTACAAGCAGCTAAGAAAAGAGTAGGGTGTCAGTCACTCAAAGCATTTATTGAGTGCCTAGTATGTGCCAAGCACTGTGCTAAATACTAGGGATACAAAAAAAGGTAGAAAACAACCCCTGCTCTCAAGGAGTTCACAGTCTAATGGAAGAGACAATGTGCGAACAATTAGGTACAAACAAGATTTATACAGGATAAACTGGAGATAATCAACAATAATAACAATAACATCTATATACTGCTTTAAGGTTTGTAATGTGCTTGACAGGTTATCTCATTTGATCCTGATAAAACCCTGTGTGTTAAGGTGCTATTTTTATTGCCATTTTAAAGATGAGAAAACTGAATCTGAGAAAAGTAAAGTGACTTGTCTAGGGTCATACAGATAGCATCTGAAGCAAGTTTTTATAGGATTTTGGCTGTAAAATAGATTTATGATTCTCTGATCCTATTATAATAGCTTGAAGAGAAGGCACAATCTAGTAAGTCTTTTTTAGGGGTAGGAATACCTGAGTACCTTTGTGGGCTGAAGGAAAAGAGTCAATGAATAAAATGAAAATGAAGTTTAGAAAGACAAAGAGGATGAACAAAAGGGAATGACTGAAAAGATAGAAGGACCTGGGATCAAGGACAAACATAAAAAGGTTGACCTTCGCAAGAACACCCCACCTTTGTCCTCTGAGACCAAAATATAGAAAGAGAGAATGGAGAATGATGTTAGAAGAAAGAGAAGGGCAAAAAACGATGAGAGGGCATTTCTGGCACGAGGCATGATTTTCACCAATGCACAGTGTCAGGAGACAGTTGGAATGGGGGTAGGAAATAGTTTAAGATAACAGACTGAGAGCTAGAAGAGATCTCCTAGGCCATCTAGTTCAACCCTTTTTTGAGGGATTATCAGGAAATTCAAGCCCAGAGTGGCTGTGACTTGCCCAAGATTACACAATCCTAGCAGATCCAGGATTTGAACCAATATCCTGACTCCAAATACATCATCCTTTCCCCCATACCACATTACCTGGTTAATTTTAGAGTTTGTAAGGAACACAGAGTGTGTTAAAGTGAGCAGAATAAAGTAAGACTGGAAAGGCATGATTGTGTATTTTAGAGGCAATGAAAAGCCACTGAAGGTGGATTTGTTTCAATATGGGGTGAGGTGGAGTGAGGGAAATAATAGAGTTGGGGAACCTAGTAAGACCTAAACATTAGAAAGGTTATTTGAAAAGCTGTGTGAAGGAAGGACTGTACGAATCAGGGAGAGAGCGGAAGTAGGAAATACAGTCAGGAGGCTATTAAATAGTACAAGTAAGAAAAGATTGGGGTGGTGGAAGTATAATTAGAAGAGAGGAGGGGGATATTAAAAATATTGTGGAAGTAGATCATGCCATGATTCGGCCGCTAACTGGATGCTGAGAGTCAAGAAGAAGGAAGATTAAGAGGTGATCCTGAGATTTTGCGTCCAGGTAACATAAACAAGGAAATAAGGAAGAAGAATGATCTGGGGGGCTGGAGGGTGGAGAAAGATGTGCAATGATGACTTTGAAGCATCAGTCCAAAAGCTAGGTAGATGTGTAAAGCTGGCAATTGGAAATATAGGACCAGAATTCAGTTAAGAAATTGGGACTGAACATAGAGATTTGGGAGTTAACAGCATAGCAGTGATAACTGCAGACATCAAAATGGATGAGATCACCAAGGGAGGGAAAATGTCCAGAGAAAAAAGAGAACTGGGTACAGAGCTGTGGTGGATATCACATTTAGGGCATAGGGTGATTGATGTTGCAGACCAGGTTACTAAAGGAAGTGGAGAGGTATGAGTTAGTCAACTCTAATCTCTGTTTCTCTCCCCTCCCCATTCCTCAACTACAGCTGGGGTTATTGTGAGCAAAGAAGCAGTGGTGCAGACACTAGGTAGGCAGGTGGGGTTAACTTGGCTCTCAAGTATGCTGACCTTGGAACTCAGCTGGAGACCTTCTGGGCAAGACTATAAAGTTTTTAACACAATGTTGGGGATCTCTGGGAACTTCCTGCCCTTTTTGCACTTCTTAACTTTGGAAGGAACTGCTTTTATAGGTACATTTAAATATATTATTATTAAATGGACTGCTTGTTTGAACCCTTATATTCTGAGTGATCCTTTGCACCAGACAAGGAGGAATAGTCACCCTGAGAGGCTAGGAGTAAAAAGAAATAGTGAAGGAGACCAAAAAAAAAAAAAAAAAAAAAAAGCTAGAATTCTTTAAATTAGTGTAAAAGAGAAGCCAGAAAAGAATTAGACAGTCTAATTAGATTGTGTTCTAACTTTTTCTTCCATATACTCTGTAATATTATTGAGGTTCTACAGGTTAAGTGCTATAAATAACCAGAACTTAGTCTGATTCAATTGTTTGTTTCTAATTGTCCTGCAGTGATTACAAGGTAAAACAATAGAAATGAAAATAAAGAATTGAACCAAACATCTTTGGAGAAAGTACTGGTTTTGAAATCAGAGGATTTGGGTTCCAGAATCCTAGCTCTGCCATTCACCATCAGAGTGACTTTGGATAAGAACCCAAACTAGCTATTTCTGTACCAGGGGAACAGGGAGCAGGCTCACCTGGACTGGAAATGCTCCAGGCAGCACCACAGGACATTGAAACTACAATAGAAGAAACCACCAGGGACAAGGCCCAGCTGCCTCTCCAGTAAGGTGCTTTGGGAAAAAGGAACCACCAATAAATAGTGTCTGGGACCTTCTCTAAATTTCCCACACCTGGACATTCCTACCACAACCAGCGAGAGCACCAATGAGAAAGGAGATGCGAGTCAAAGTGCAATTAGTATTAGAAAGGGCAGCCAAACAAACCGTTGGTGGAGCTGTGAACTGATCCAACCATTCTGGAGAGCAATTTGGAACTACGCCCAAAGGGCTATAAAATTGTTCATATCCTTTGATTCAGCAATAACACTGCTAGGTTTACATCCCAAAGACATCAAAAAAGGGGAAAAGGATCTATTGTTGCAAAAATATTTATAGCAGCTCTTTTTGTGGTGGCTAAGAATTGGAAATCAAAGGAATGTCCACCAATTGGGGAATGGCTGAATAAGCTGTATTACATGATTGTGATGGAATATTATTGTGCTGTAAGAAATGACAAGCAAGATTTCAGAAACACCTGGAAAAACTTGCATGAAATGATGCATAATGAAGTGAGCAGAACCAGGAGAACGTTGTACACAGTAATATTGTTAGATGAAGAACTATGAACGATTTAGCTATTCTCAGCAATACAATGATCCAAGACAATCGCAAAGGACTAATGATGAAGCATACTATCTGCCTCGAGAGAAAGAACTTATGACTGAATACAGACTGAAGCATGCCATTTTTCACTTTTTAATTTTTTTCTTTTATTCCAATCTTCTTGTACAAAATGACTAATACGGAAATGTTTTACATAATTGCCCATGTACACCTATATCTGATTGCTTATCGTCTCGGGGAGAGGAGAGAGGGAGGGATAGAATTTGGAACTCAAAACTTGAAATAAAAAATGTTTAAAAACTGGGGAAAAAACCCAACCCAAACTCCTAAAATGAGTAATCTGATGTTCTTATTTTTGTCTTGGCAGTTCTCCTACAATCTGTTCTCTCTGTCCTCTTCATAGCTGCTTGGGTCTGTCAAGATTCTGCAAAGTGGCCTAGTTAGAAAGTAGCCCCATTCATAGCTACAATTCTAGGCAGCAGCTCCACTGACTTCCTTTACCGCGTCTCTTGGTGCTACGTGGACAAGGAGAACCCCTCCTCACACACACACACACACACACACACACACACACGCACACACCCTCCCCACACCCGTGTACTTTCTGAACTCAGATCTTCCCCTTTTGGTACTTTTTTTTTTTTCTATAGTTTCGATTCTGACTGGAGCTAAACGGAAGGAAGTGCAAAGGTTCCTTAACTCTGAGGACACAGTCCCTCCTCCCTCCCGCAGCCCTAGGCTAGCATTTTCTCACGTCTACGGCTTTTTTGGATTTCCTGTTTCTCCAGGCTTTACCCAGGATCAAATCTGGAGCGATCCTCCCCTACCCTCTAGAGATCGGGGACCAACCACGGCGAGATAGCAGCTGGGCAACACCAGGAGGGAATCAAGGGCTATAGGGGAGGAGCTCCAGGAAGAAAAGACGGAAAGTCCAGCTGGGAAGAACTGGAGGTGGAAGAGAAGCAGTACTCTACGAAGTGGCTGGGGGAAGGGGAGGGGGAGAGGAAGGAAAGTGTCCGAGAGGTGAGGAAAGGGGGCTAGGGGAGGCCGAGGAGGAAAAGAAAGGGGGAACTCTTCTGGGGTTGGGCCGGCAGCATGTGGAGAGCTCAGAGTCCCTCAGGGAAGGTTCGGGGCGGAGCCGGCGCTGGTAGGGAAGCTCACCTCTCCCTGGCTAGAGGCCCTGGAGGTGGAGAGTCGGGGGTGTGGTGCCTGGAATCCAGACATTGTCCCCTCCCACCACAGGCCGGTCAACCGCTCGAGGGTGAGTTGCCGCGGAGAGCCCGGCGGCGGGCAGAGCTGCAGCAGTATGAAAGGCGCTACGCATCCCCTCTGTTTTTGGACCTGGGGCGAGCAGCAGCTGCAGCAGCCCCAGCAGCCCCAGCTCGGTCTCCTCCGCCCATGCATGTGCCGTGGAGAGGCCCGCAGCGGGGCCGGCGCGGGGGCCGGGAACTGCCGAGGGGAGCCTGGCTCCTGATCACATTCTGGCTCCTGATGTTCTCGGCGCTGGCCGTCTACTTCTCCTTGATCCAGCTGTCTCCGCTGCCCTGGCCATACCTGCGGCCACCGGCCCCGCCACGCCCGGTCACCGTCCTGATGTGGTGGGAGCCCTTCGTCGGGAAGGGCAGATCCCACCGTCCGGTCCCAGACTGCCAGCGCCTATTTAACTTGAGCGGCTGCCGCCTGCTCACCGACAGGAAAGGCTATTGGGAAGCCCAGGCAGTTCTCTTCCACCACCGAGACCTTGTGCGGACCCAGGACTGGCCCCCGCCACGGACTGAGCCTGGAGACAAGTCGGAGCTGGACACAGCGGCACCTGAAGCAGTATACACGGCCTCGACGAGCGGCCAGCTGGCCAGGCCCCCTGGACAGCGCTGGGTGTGGATGAACTTCGAGTCCCCTACAAACTCCCCGAGACTAGAGAGCCTCGACGGCAGCCTCTTCAACTGGACACTGTCCTACCGGGCCGACTCAGATATCTTTGTGCCCTATGGGTATCTTTATCCCAGGAGCAGCCCGCAGGACCAGCCTTCGGGGCTGTACCCATCGCTGGCCCGAAAACAGGGGCTGGTGGCCTGGGTGGTCAGCCACTGGAGTGAGAGGCAGGCTCGGGTCAGATACTACCACGAGCTGCGCCAATACCTGAAGGTGGACGTGTATGGCCAAGGTGGTCCTGGACAGCCAGTGCCGGACTCTGGGCTTCTGCACACGGTGGCCCGCTACAAATTCTACCTGGCTTTCGAGAACTCTCAGCACCTGGACTACATCACAGAGAAACTGTGGCGAAACGCCTTTCTGGCAGGGGCGGTGCCGGTGGTGCTGGGGCCCAGCCGGGCCAACTACGAGCGCTTTGTGCCTCGAAATGCCTTCATCCACGTGGACGACTTTCCTAATGTTGCTGCCTTGGCCTCCTACCTTCGCTTCCTGGATCGAAACCGGAACCAGTACAAGCGCTATTTTGACTGGCGCCGGCGTTATGCTGTGCACATCTTGTCCTTCTGGGACGAGCCCTGGTGTCGGACCTGCCAGGCTTTGCAGATTGCTGGAGACCAACCCAAGAAAATGAACAACTTGGCTGCCTGGTTTCAAAGATGAGACTTCACTAGGCCAGGGTCCGGGGTTGCTAAGTATTTTGCAGAGGATATTGCATAGGTTAATAATCTGCAAACGAGACTGTTTATAACAGGAAGACTCTTAAAAGTTCTCAGATCAGGTACTTCCAGCTTCCACACTGGTGTTTTAGAGTGGAGCGGTTGAGCTCTTTTAAAATGTGTAAGGGTGAGGAGAGAAACTTGTGTCTTGCCAGTAGCCCAAACTGACTGTGCATGTGATCTGTATAGGGTAAGCAATGCAGCTAGCTCACTGACCCTCAGCAGCTCCTCTTTTAACTTGCGGCAAGCCACCAAGGTAAAAGTGGTCACAAAGTGCCTTATTACAATGGAAAGCCACCTCTTCACTAGGTGCCTTAAAGCTTCTAGCTGAATAGTGAAGCTCCTTCATTTCATGTCCTATGAGTACTGTTGAAGAAATTGAGAATGTTTGTTATGGAGGGGAGATGTCTTAAGAGGAACTTGACGGTTGCTTTCAAGTATTTGAAGGGTTTACCTGGTAGAGGGATTAAACTTGTTCTTAGTGACCCCACAGGATAGAATAAGGAGCTGTGGGTAGAAGTTACCAAGACAAATTTAAGCTTGATCTATGGGAGAACGCCTAACAATGAAAATTAGAGCTATATAACAGTGGAATAGGCCACTTCTGATGGACTGGTGAGTTCTCCCTTCCAGGAGGTCTTCAAGCCAAGGCTGAATGTTTCCATTGCAAAGGGGATTTGGGTTCAGGTATGGTTTGAACTCCTGAGGTTCCTTCCAATTCTGAGTCATGCTTCCTTAAAGTCAAGAGGACTCTCCTGAAGAAGCTATTAGCGATTTAGCCACCAGCTATTGTGTTCTGTCCTCTAAATAGAGGGAAACCAGATGAGATGGAGGAGAGTAGGGAAAAAATAGATACAGTTAAAAAAGTTATGTGTGAACTAATAAATAAGTGTGCACTAAATGTATTTCAGTATTTAAAAGAACTCTGTGGTGAATATCCCTTTACAATGCGAAAAATGACATATCTTGTGAATACAGAATTTTTTCCCTGTATATTTAATTTTCTGAAAGTAGACTTGAGGAAAAGTTGTGAAACAAGCCTCTTCCCCTCTTCCCCCAAGTAACCATTTACAAAAGTTCTTATGCAGAAATATCAGAAGGAAAGAGAAGAAAACCTTGTTGGCAGTCTCTGCATAAATATTTATTTCGTGTTTTAGTATATTTAAATTTTAGAATTTCATTCTTCCCGTGGGGCTTGCTATGCCTTTCTTAAAGATTGCTTCACTCACAAGGCTTCATCATGTTAGCATTTATATAGCACTTTAGCATTTGCAAAGTGCTTTACATATGATCCCATTTGATTGTGGAGAATTACGAAATTATGCAGAAAAGGGGGAAAATATTTTATTGTTAAAATTTTTTATATTTTTGTATGTTATTTGTAATTACCCAAGTGTATAGTTCTCCCATGTGTTTGTTTGAAAAAGTCAATTTATCCAGGATTACTTGGTGTGTACAGTCATTTACTACTCCAGTTTTGCTGCTAAACCTTTTACTGGAATAAGATCTTGTGTGTTCTAGTTAGTAAGTGGGTTTGCATTTATTTCATGCATTAAACATGTACCATGACCTACTATAATACTGCCCTTTGAACCTTTGTTGGAGGAACTCACATTATTAAACACCTATATTCAGTTTAAGAACTTCTAGAAGAACTAACATTCATTCATACTCTGTAGGAAAGTTATGGGTGAGGGAAATATAAAGATGTATGAGGGCTCCTGCCCTCTTGGAACTTATACTTTATGTAAACCTTAAAGTAAATAGTGCACTTCAACTAAAATTAGTGCACATCAGCCAAAGTAGACTTTGAAGTCTTGCTATTGCAAGACTTGCAAAACAACTGATTTCCAGTCTGCCTTCTGTAACTGTCTTTTTGTTTCATTTACTAATGGCTTACTTTGGAAGGGTTCCAAGATTAACTAAATTTACCTCAAATTCTACTCCATACTCCATGTAGCAAAATCCAGTTTTTAAAATGTATATGCCACAGTTCATTATTCTGAGTACTTCATAGACTACACGAGTACAATAGTCCCTAGCTAAATCATAAGACAGGAAGATCTGACTCTTATTTGAATTTGTTACAGATTTGTTAGTTGACTTCATTTTTAAGTGCCTCGTTTCCACTACTAGCAGCCTCTTTTTTTTTTTTTTTTTTTTTTACCAAATAAGGATATTAATTTTGAAAAATTAAGATCTAGGGATAAAATGTTCTCTAAACTATTTTAAAACGTGGGTTTTAAAGGAAGGAAAGTTTATTCTTAAAAATGATTGTTTATGGGACTTTGGTAATATAGTCTACGCTGAACAGGAAAACCAAGTTCTCTTACAGATTAAATAGTCATCTGAATGAATAAAAGGTAGTTAAAAAAGTGTCTAGGCTCTTTTTTTTATGGCATTTTGGTGAAGCAATGCGGGCAATGTGACTTGCCCAGAGTCACACAGCTAGTGGTGTGTCTGAGGCTGGATTTGAACTCAGGTCCTCCTGACTCCAAGACCAGAGCCTCTGTCCACTGCTCCACCTAGCTGCCCCTAGGCTCTTTTTCTGATGAGGGGACTTAGAATGCCCCAAAGCCAAACCCTTGTGTTTAAACATTTTTGACAAAGCTTCTGTGAGTTTAAACTACAAAGGCTCAGGTGACTTCTCTGCTGCTACACTGCAGCCACCCTTTCATTTATGTGAAACTGATCACTCACTTACACAAGATGGTAATAACTGACACTATTATTAAAGAATATAAAGGTCTTAGTGGTTTTCTTTGTAATATAGTTTTCTTACATGTTTAAAATACTTGAAAAACAAAATGGACTTGAAATTCTCATTTTCTTTTCCTCTACATCAAATAGATTACGTCATAGCTGACCATTTTATCATTTCACTTTATTGGGCAAAGTTGAAACAGATCATTTATAAATCTAGTAGTATGTGATGAAAGTCTCTTGTTTTTGTAGTTAGAAATGGCCTATGTAATCTGCCTTTGCTCAATATATGAATTTTACAAATATAATTTGGGGGAATATATTTAAAATAATATGTATTCTTACACAATAAGTACTACTTACACCTGGATTGAGGCTTATAGCAGGAAAACGGTGGCAAAATCAAGCTGATTGTATTTTAATTTTTTTTCTCCTAGGGCATTGTCTAGTAGTGAGTTGTTAGGGCCTTAATTCATATGTCTAGGCATCTATTAGCCTAGCTGCTACTTCATTTACAGAACTCACTACCCAATATCTCCCCCCCTTTTTTTTTACTGGATTCTTCAAATCCTATTTCACAGAGAAAATATATCACTTTTCTCTCCCTCCCTGCTCCAAAATAATACATCTACTTTCGGTATTTTAAAAGGGGATGGTGGGAGGATAATGGGAAAGCTAATGGGAATAGGTCAGTGTGGTTCATCCCAGCCTTGTAGGCATAGTCACAAGGCTCTTTCATAGTCAATCTTCCATGTGACTGCCATCCCCTGCTACCCCAGCCACCCTCCACCAAATCTTGTCCCAGAGGCAGGCCTGTGATGTTTGGAAACTTCAGCTAGATAATATGGCTCAGTTAGACTAAGCTGTCTGTAGTTCAGCTTTCCAGAATCCACTTCCTGGATCCTTACTTAATTGGTCTAGAATTCTCCTACGTCTGAGTGCAAATGTTCTTTCTCAAGTTCCCTAAGTGAGCTCCCTCTGTTCCTTGCCTGTGGATGAGGTACCAGTTACTATGTAACAGCAGTGATACTAAATCAGTTTTAGAAATCAGGTCCTGGGTAAATCTGGTTTAATTTTTTTAAAAAAGTATTGGACATCTTTTTAAATAAGAAAATGACATGTTTCCTTGGTAATGAGTAGGGTTAATAAAGTATATGAAATTCTTGGATTGTCTCAGGGAATTTTATACCAAGACTCACATCAAATTATGGACTTGGTTGCTTTTATTCAGATTAATTATGACAATAAAATGATGAAAGTAAAATGAGCCTCCTTGTGTTTATACTGTATTGTCCTAACGGGTTAATTTGTTCAGTCACGACTTGCATAATTCCTACCCCAAAATAATCTCTCTGACTTAGAGGTTATTTCATTCATTCTTGATTCCTTTGCTACCTGTCTAATTTTCCTTATAGCACTTTTGTCCTGATAGAACTGCTTGACAGAACTATTTTTTTCTCCTTTGTATCTCCATCACTTAGTACAGTGTCTGGCCCTTTGTAGGTGCTTTAGTAAATGCTAACTAATAATTGCCATAATTCATAATCACTCTCCTTCATGCAATGTCCCTGCCAAACTCATGGATGTATTCGCTGTTTCCAGAGCTAAGAAATCAGAATTCTATCTTCTGTCTCCGGGCCTTTTGCTGTCTCCTTTGCCTGGAGATACTTTTTCTTAAAACTCTTAAGAGTTCTTGCCATCCTTTAAAGCAGAGATTCTTAACCTTTTTTGTGTGTCATGGACTCCTTTAGCAGTCTGTTAATAGTAAGCATTTATTAAGCACCTACTATATGTCATATCTCATTTTTATCCTCACAACAATCCTAGGAAGCAGGTGCTAGTTTTTAATCCCATTTTACAGATGAGGAAATTGAGGCAGACACATTAAGTGACTTGCCCAGGATCATGCTTCCAGTAAGCATCTTGAGGCCAGATTTAGACTTGGGTCCTCCTGACTCCCAAGTCGAGGGCTCCATTCACTGTGCCAGACAGCTATCCCTATGTCTGTAGAAGCCTTTGTTCCCCTGATCAGAATAAAGCTTCTAAATACTTAAAATGAAATATGTAACATTACGAAGGAAACCAATTATATTGAAATACATTTATCAAAATATAAAAAAGATAAGTTTGCGGACCCCAAGTTAATATCTCTGGCTTCAGGGCTTAACTTAAGTATTCCCTTCCTTTTGGAAGGCCTTCCAGAGCCCTTAGCTGTTGGTGCTTGTCTCTGTCTTCATATTATGCTGTCACTTAACTGTTTACATCCCCTAATAGAGGGTAAACTCTTTAAGAGTAGGGCCTGGTTTTCATTTTTGCCCTTGTAACCCTGAATCTATCAAAGTGCTTTGTATATAGATCTAGCAGTATACTGGTAAATATTTTAACAACTAGCTCCCCAAAAAAGAAAAAGGTACCTAGGATACATTTCTAAGTTTAATCTGCATTAACATTTTCTCCTTCACTCTCTAAAGCCTAAACAATCAAAACAACAAATAAAGGCCTGATTCGATTAGAAGCATTTGGTGATTCCCTGAATACAAATGCTCACATGGAAAGTTTAACAATAAACTGGAGCTGGCTCCTGGACTGCACAACCTTTTTGATTCATGATAAATGCTTACTGAATTGAATTGAACTGAAATGAATAAAACCCAGTGGCTTCTCTCATAGGGCAGAAAGAGTAGTGCTATCTCTTTAGAAGCCCGTTTTTCTATTTCCCTAAGTACTTGGATGATTTAAAAATATATATTTACCTTTTAATATTTGTGAAAGGGGGAGGGGACAGGGCATTTCGTAATAAGTATGAATACTGCTGTCATCTGGCACCAACCCTTGGGGAAGAACATGGAATTTGGAAAGTTCTCTTCCTACCCTGCCTCATTCATCTACTAAACTTTAAGAATATTTCATAGAGGAGAAAACTGTGAGGGAGGCACATGAGATATTCAGTAAGAAATGAGAAACAAGAAGAAAAAAAGTGGTTAGTAAAGGAGGAATGAAGAGAAGGGGAAAATGTTGGGGGAAAGGATGACTGTCCTGAAGAAAAAAAGAATTAGATAAGAGGCCAGAAGAAAGGGAGAGTAGAAAAAGGAAATACGAGGAACAAATAGAAGGAAGAAAAAAAAGGAAGAATAAAGGAGGGAGACATGAAAGTGACAGAATGAGGGAATATATTTTAAGGGGTAAGATTTATGGATCTACTCTAGATTGTTTTTCTGAAAGCTTCATTATTCCAATTTGAAGTTTGAAATCTCCACGAGGAAAGTGAACAATTTGTGAATTCACCCAATTCCTGTGAAAATCAGGACTCTGACAAAGCAAGAACTAGCATTTCAGCTGAAATGTGAAACTTCCTTGATTCATTAGGAGACGATCTAATACTCATGAATGCTGTTTTTTCATCTGAGAGTAAAAATAACAAAGACTCACTGCTAATTTTTTCTCCCCTTGCCCTTTGGGGTACTTGACTTCTGTTTTTAGAAAATCTGGTTGTTGTTGTTTTCAAATAGGCAGATACACCAATAAATTTCAGCTTTAAAGAAAAGACGAGAAGGAAGGAAAGAAAATTGTAAGAGATTAAGCACAATTTTTTTACACCTTGCTGAAAACTAAGGTACTTTTGACTGTAATTTCAGGGAGTCATAGAACCTTAATAAGGGACCTTAGATGTCATGCAGTCCCTGCTTCAAGCATGAACTCCCTTCACAGCATTCCTGACCAGGTTTCATCCAGCCTCTGCTAGAAGATTTCCAATGATGCAGAAATCATTACTCATTAGGGCAGCACATTTCACTTCGTTGATCATTAATTCCTTGAATATAATTTAATTTTTTTCCATTAAATTTTTTCCATTAAAAGTCTATTTTCTCTCCCTCCCTCATGACTCCCCTCCTCCCACCGAAAAAGAAAGTAAAAACCCTTGTAATGAATATGCATAGTCAGGCAAAACAAATTCTAGCCTTGCCATGTTATATGTATGTGTGGGTATATATATGTGTGCATCTATGTGTGTATACATACATATGTACATACATACATATACACCCTGTACTCTGAGTCCCTCATCTCTCAGTCAGGACATGGGTAGCACATTTAATCATTAGTGAGAGCATTAATTTGTTTTTTCTTTAAATAATGGTCTCCCTATCTCTCCTAGGCCAGAAGTGCAAGAGCTATTCATTTGTTGTTGTTTATTCAATTAGGTATGTCTGACTCTTCATAACCCCATTTGGGGTTTTCCTGGCAAAGATACTGGAGTGGTTTGCCATTTCCTTCTCTAGCTAATTTTATAGATGGGGAAACTGAAGCAAATGAGGTAAAGTGACTTGCCTACGGTCACAAGGCTGGTAAGAGTCTGAAGCTGGATTTGAACTCAGGCCCTCCTGCTCCAGGGTCAGGCATTCTATCCACTGTGCCCCCTAGCAGCCCTGGGGCTACTTGTGAGTAGATTCTTCAGCCTTTCTCAATCCTTCTTAATTTTAGTGCCTTCCCTCTCTTAAGTATTTCCTATTTATCATGTAGATAGCTTGTTTTGCATACATTTATTACATGTTGTCTCTCCCTTTGGATTGTAAAATCCTTGAGGACTGGGATTGTCTTTTGCCTTTTTGTATCTTCAGCACTTAGCACTGTGCCTGGTACTTAGTAGGCACTTAATAAATGTTTATTGATTGGTTACTGACTGATTGACTATTGATCAATGTGAGAATCTGAATAATTCTTGCAAGCTTCAACTCATACTGGGCTTTACTTCTTGACTATTCATGATGAACTGTGCCACTTTTTGTATTTGTTCCCTTATCATACATTATTTCCCCATCCCATTTCTATAGTCCAGCCAGTTTAGCCTCCTGCTAGCTGTCCTTCAACAAGATGTTCCATCATTTATTTTTGAGTCTTTGCACAGTCCCTCTCCCATGCCTAGAATACACTTCCTTCTTACCTCTGCACATTAATTACCTAGTTTCCTTAAAAACTCAGTTGAAACATCACCTTTTGCATGAAACATTCCTTATGCCCACAGTTGACATTTCTTCCCCTCAAAAATATAAATTACCTTGTATTTATTTTGTATCTATTTTGCATACGCTTTTATACATACATTGTTTATGCCTGGCACATAGTAGTCACTTAAAAAAAAGAGCTTGTTAATTGATTGATTGATTCCCAGTTACCTGCCCTTGATTTTCATCGTGTGTGTGTGTGTGTGTGTGTGTGTGTGTGTGTATGTATGTGTGTGTGCACACATACATCTCCTTTTCAAATCTGAGTGTTTCCATGAATTCCTCTCACAATCACTCTGGTCTCTTTAGATGGTTCATCCTCTTCTTCCTCACCAGTCATTTTGTTTGTTTGTTTTTGTTTTTCTGTTTTTGTTTTTTTTTTTGGTAAGGCAATTGGGGTTAAGTGACTTGCCCAAGGTCACACAGCTAGTACATGTCAAGTGTTTGGTCTGAGGCCGGATTTGAACTCAGGTCCTCCTGACTTCAGGGCCGGTGCTCTATCCACTGCGCCACCTAGCTGCCCCCTCACCAGTCATTTTGACTGTGTAGTCAGGATATCATTGCTGATTGTCTTCCATTCCCTTGCAGTCGATTTCCTTTTGAGAGTCAAGGGCCGTGAGATGTTATCTATTTTTTTCTCTGGGTTATCTGATGTCTTTGAAATCCAGTATTCCAAAGTTTAGGGTAACATTGGATGATGTTCAGTATTCCCCTCCTTATCTACCATGAATTCAGAGATGGTATGGTTATTGTCTCCCATGTTTCCTGTCATTTCTACTTTGACAACTGTTTTGGCAATCTTTTTCTTGGTAAAATCAGCCCTTTTTACCTTCTCTAGGAAGGAGTCTAGTTTGCAATTAGTATATACATTGCTGCCAATGAAAGGAACAAAAAACATGCCATAATTTTATCTGCAGGTGTTATAAAAAGCCTGACAGGTTTGGGATTGTCCCTTATGGTTATATCAGGGAAAGCCTGGTACCTTTTATTAAACAAACACTAATTAGTGGTGCCTGGAGCCTGGAGCCAAGATGTAACACAGGCTGGTTTCCTCTGTGACCTGAGAAAGTTTGGTCATGCCCTGACTTGTTCACACAATTTTTGTACAAATGAGCTGAAACAGATTGCTGTTATCTCTAACATAAACTGAGGACCAATCC